TGTTACTTGAAGCGATGCACTTGTTCCTAGTAGCTTCTTGCTCCTAGTAGTAAGGCACTTGTTGCTAGATGCGATGCACTTGTTCCTAGTAGCTTCTTTCTCCTAGTAGTAAGGCACTTGTTACTAGAAGCGATGCCCTTGTTCCTAGTAGCTTCTTGCTCCTAATAGTAAGGCACTTGTTACTAGAAGCGATGCCCTTGTTCCTAGTAGCTTCTTGCTCCTAGTAGTAAGGCACTTGTTACTAGAAGCGATGCACTTGTTCCTAGTAGCTTCTTGCTCCTAGTAGCAAGGCACTTGTTACTAGAAGCGATGCACTTGTTCCTAGTAGGGTAGCTTCTTGCTCCTAGTAGTATGTTGGTGGTGATGATGGTGACGGTGGTGATGGTGAGCGAGCGAGCGAGTGAGTGAGAGTGAGTGAGAGTGAGTGAGTGAGGTTTACAAAGTTCTGCGCCAGCCACGAAATCTGCACTTCGAGGTTCGCAAAGTGCTGCGCCTGGCACGAAATCTGCACTTCGATTTTCACAAAGTGCTGCGCCTGTCACGAAATCTGCACTTCGAGGTTCACAAAGCGCTGCGCCTGTCACGAAATCTGCACTTCGAGGTTCACAAAGTGCTGCGCCTGGCACGAAATCTGCACTTCGATTTTCACAGTGCTGCGCCTGTCACGAAATCTGCACTTCAAGGTTCACAAAGTGCTGCGCCAGCCGCGAAATCTGCAAACGAGCCACATGTCCAAAAGTCAAGATTTGCTGCGCCTGTCACGAAATCAGAGTGCCTCCAACATCACCACCATGTCCAAAGCGCTGCGCCTGCAAAAATCTGCACTTCGAAGTACAACAGCTCCGATCCCTTGCGCTTGTCACGAAAAGTCGACTTTTGGAACACCAAGACAGGTTTCCCTTGCGCTGTGGTTGCTAAAAAGTGCACGAAAGGAAACGATGATAAAAAGAGTCGCCCGCCAAAAGGTCCCGGGCCTTGGCGGGTCCTTTTGGCAGGCGGCTGCGTGTTTTGACCTCCAGATCCTCTCTCTGTCTGTAGGAGCGCGTTGCCATTTCCCCTATGAAATGGGAGGGGTCAGGCCCTGTATTAAAAAACTATTGTGTACTATCAGGGACAGACAGTTAGAAGTGCTAAAAGTTTTTAAACGCAGGTAGAATATGAAAAATTAAAACCATGAATTTTAGCGCTGGTTATTCAACACAGCTGGTTATGGCACCTCAGTCTGTTCAACACAGCACGCCCTCCCTGAACTGTAAGTAAGATCAGATAAGGCAGCACTTGTGCAGCGTCCTGATTATTCAGCAGCCGCCTTATCTCATCTTAAATATATACCGTGGTTTACAGTATAGTTTTCAACAGATCTCCGAACATATACAGTACTGTACTGTGCGTTAGTTTTCACAGAAGGTAGCCTGTAAGAAGCTACAAACGTATTTTAGGTGGAGGTAGTTTTGTTTCATTGTTGATTTTGTATATTCTATCTGCACTCGTATCCTATCTGCAAATCTACACCGCATCGCTGTCGGAGGTCCTAATTTAAATACCTAAATGTTTGGATGTTATATTCTAACTGTCTGTCCCTGAATGTAGTAAATTTTTTTGGTTTGCCGAAACCATTTTGTAGGGCCCATTTTGTAGCAAACAAACATGGACTGTCATGGAGCCTGGAACCTCATTCTGTAGTAAAATCTGGTCACTTTTTGGTGGTGTATCTTGCAACCCAGGAATTCATTTTGTAGGGGAGAACGTGGCTTAGTTTACAGTTGCCATGTGGCTCAACAAAAAACACCGAGAAAATGCAACCTCCGGCTGGCTGCCCAAAGTTTTTGCCCTCCGGTTTGTTCGGCTTGGTTTCCCTTTGGTTTGCCTTCACACCAAGGGTGGTCACAAAAGCGAAAAGATATTTACATATATTTAGCTCTAGAACCTGGACAGCTTCTACAAAATGGCCACCCAAAGGCCACCTAAGCATGGCAATTACACTTCTAGGCCCGTACTCCTTGTAACCACCCTGGCACCTGCAGTGCTTTGATGATCTTTGGGGAAGCTTCATTGTGGGCCCCCCTTTGGTGAGCACAAAATGTTTAAATATGAACAATGCAGCTGACTTATTCATGATTTTGGGGAATGACCCTGGATGAGTAGTTGAGTGAAAAATGAAAAGAGACTACAGAAGGCTGCCTGACTCATTTTGTAGCAGAATCCGCGCGACTATTTTTAGAGATTGTGGGAAGGCGGGCGCCCATTTTGTAGCAGAACAGGTTTTTCTGATGGGGGACGAGCCCCTTGTCAGGAAGCCATTTTGTAAGGCTGCATTTCCTTTGCAACGCCCTTTTTGTAAGGCTCAGGTCGTTCTGTACTACAAAATCTGTTTCCACGACCCCACCCCCTAAATGGCTACCGGGATGCAAAAGCAACGTTTGGATCAATTCTGCTAGCCTTCCTTGTTGATGGGCACGGCATGTGACTGGTGTCCAAAAATTTCGAAAAGTCAAAAAGTCTCGAAAAGTCGAAAAATTTCGCTGCGCGCTGTCGTTTCCTTTTACCTTTTTGATTTTTCCCCACCTGCCAGGTGAGGGTTCTTAGATTTTATCACAGTTCCCTGAGGATCCGATATTGAAAAAAATCAATCTTACGATTGGTACCAAATCTTTTTCAATAATATTGAAAATGGTCAACTTGGAAGCCAAAAACATCAATTGTTCTTCCTTCCTTCCTTCCTTCCTTCCTTCCTTCCTTCCTTCCTTCCTTCCTTCCTCCTTGCTTCCTTCCTCGCCAACCTCCTCGCCAATCTTTCATCGCCAATCTTCATCGCCAATCTTCATCGCCAATCTTCTTCGCCAATCTGCTTCGCCAATCTGCTTCGCCGATCTTGTCTGGCAAGCTCCGGATCGCAGTGTGCACCCCTGGACCTCAACCGCAAGGATCCGATCGCAGTGTGCACCCCTGGACCTCAACCGCAAGGATCCGATCGCAGTGTGCACCGCTGGACCTCAACCGCAAGGATCCGATCGCAGTGTGCATCCCTGGACCTCAACCGCAAAGGTCCGATCGCAGTGTGCACCGCTGGACCTCAACCGCAAGGATCCGATCGCAGTGTGCACCGCTGGACCTCAACCAGATAGTTTGCCAGATAGAATGCCAGGTAGATTTCCAGATAAAATGCTGCAAGAAGATACGCCAGATAGTATGCCAAATAGTGTGATAGATTGCTAGATACATTGCCAGATAGAATGCCAGATAAAATGCCAGATAGAATGCCAGAAGATATGCGAGATAGAATGACAGATAGTAAGCCAGACAAAATGCCAGATAGTATGCCAGACAGTATGCCAGATAGTATGTCAGATAGATTGCCAGATAGAATGGCAGATTGAATGGCAGATAGTATGCTAGATAGTTTGCCAGATAGCAAGAAGATATGCCAGATAGAATGACACACAGTCACAAACACAATATCACAAACACACAACCACAAACACACAACCACAAACACACAACCACAAGCACAACCACAAACACGACCACAGCCACAATCACAAACATGCAATGACAAGCACGCAACCACAAACACAACCGCAGCCTCAACGACAAAGACGCAACCACAAGCGCAACCACAAACGCAATCACAAACGCAACCACAAACACACAACCACAAACACACAGCCACTACCACTACCACTACCACTACTACTAACAAATAGTAATAAATAGTAATACTACTACTTGGGCCACCCAGTACGACTACTACTGAAATGATCTGAGTTGTATTATTAGTTGGGCGCAGGTCTCCTGATGAAAGCATTCGCTTCGGACAAAACAGTAAGACTGGGCGCTGAAGGACTTGTGCTATGGGCTGAAACACACAACAAGGTTGATGTCAACGTGGTTGTTTTGAAATGCCATGGTGGGGATCACTCGAAGTAAAGTAATTTTACCTTTTGACGTTTCTCACTTTTTGACTTTTTGCGTTTTGCTTGGTGTCTTGCGACTGCCACGAAAAGTGACCATCATGTCTGAAAATGCGCACGGCACCACAACGAGAGCGCAGTCGCGAGAAGCACCCACTGCGGACACCCAGATTCTGCGACCCTGCGCAGTCGAAATGCACTTCGAACATTTCGAAAGGCATGAATGAACCCTTAGTGTGTCCACACTGCTCTTGAAAGCTTGTTTTCTCTTTTGAAAAGGTGAAAGTCGATGACTTGGTCACTTGTTTTCTTTGTTGCTTCGGGCTCAAAGCGGCTCGGCGCTTTTCCGCTCTCGCAAGGCTCAAGATCTGCGGACGCCCTATGTGCCCATTCGCTTCGGTGGCCAAGGGACCATGTATGAAGACAAGGCGAGAAGCCAAAGAAGAAGGAAAAACGAAAAGAACGAGTTCGTGCATGAGATGTGAAGAAAGAGAAGAGAACGAAGAGAATTTTGAAGAAACGAAAAGCGCAAAGAACGTGAAGAACGAAGGGTGGTAAGACAAAACACAACAAAGCAACAACGGAGACGGTGACAACTGTATTTATTTTTTCTTACAAAAGTACCAAGTTTCTATTGTTGATTTTGCATGATTGAAGCTGTTTGAATGTTTTTTTGTTTGGACGGTTTCGTTTTAGACATGACATGCGGTGAGGTGGAGGGTTATGACATCTATTTTGTGGATGTTTGCCAGCGGCTCATCACTGATGAGGGCGTCTCTTGGCATTGAGGGGGGCGGTTACAACCTTTACCTACTCCTTCACGTTTACTAAGTTTACTCCTTCGCTTATACCCTAATAGCGATGTCCTCCAACCTACTTCGTTATAGCCTTCATCTCTCTCCAAAATTAATCACACCTTTTACCTGTTCCTTCTGTGTTGTCGCTGTGAGGCACTAGCGTCCGTGGACGCGAAAAGCACATCAGACCCAATTCTGTGTCCGTGCCATAGTGAACGAAGAGAGTGTCTTGAGTCGCTTAGTTTTCTTCATGTGGAAAAAATAGAAACAAAAAACGGATATAAAAAGGGACCCAATTAATAGCAATGGCCTTCAACCCAAGGGCGATGGCCTTCAACCTACTACAGTAGTGATGGCCTCCAACCTAAGAGCAGGAACCATTTGTTTCTCATTTGGGTCTTGTTTCTCTAGGTTCCACAGCAACCCTTCCACTTGTGACAGGCTGCGACGCAGAGGTTTACACAGTGCAGTTCACCGACGTCGTTCTGAAAGAAGCCTACACGGGTTTGGCTGTCGCTCGGGCGCATCGACTGTGGTTTTACAAACAAGATTGTGAGTATATATTTGAGGTTTTCTCAAGACCCAAGTAAAGGATGCTACTAGGGGCTACTGGCATCGCTACTAGGAGCGAGCATGCTACTAGGGGCTCCTGGCCTTATTACTAGGAACAAGAAGCTACTGGCAACAAAGGGCATCGCTACTAGTAGC